TAAATTGGGCACACGTGTAAATATCACATTGTTTCTCTAGTGTGAAACTGAAAATGTAAAAAAAGACCAGAATGTATGATAAATAATATGAAATAGGATGAAAACTTTCAAATGGGAAAGAGCATTAGAGAGGGCGTAGGGGGAAAGGAAGAAAGGGAAAAACATGAGAAAAGAGATAAAATAGAAAAAAAGCTTTTTAAATAAGGAGAAGGGTTGGAGGGGAATGAAAAAAAATATGTCATGTATAGGTACAAATTTCATATGATAAATGCTCCATATGATGATGATGATGATTATGTATATCTAAATTATACCAGTAAACTTAAAAAATAAAGTTAATAACAGATCCTGATAACCATTTGCTGATTGTGGGGTCACATATGCACTCTGTACTCTGTGAAAGATCACAAGTTAAATTTTGAAGCTTTTTTACCAGGACATTTTGTCCCAACAACCTAGATAAAAGCACTTCTCTCAAAACTCCTTAGTCTAATTTTGCTGCTGGGCTCTAACTAATGAACAATGTCCTATAGTCATATGTAAGCGTCAACCAATCAGGAATGTATCCTTGCATTCCATATTTACATAAAACCAACCAGAACTGAGCACACTTGGCTCCCTCATTTGCATAAACCTACAGAAGTAGGAAGTTGGGAAGAATTTCCTTTATATAATCCAGCCTCTCTTTGTTCCTTTGGAGAGGATTTTCTTGTTTTTAGTGAACGATGCTTTTTCCTAGTCTGCAAAATGTTTTTTTTTATTGTTTTTTCTTTTTTAATTCTTTTTTTAAAAAAACCTTAAGTGCTTTCCTAGTGAATTTTTGTTGATAGCAATAAGCTGGCAAGCAACCATAAACCACTGTTTATCATTATAAAAATTAGTAAGATTTAATTATTCAATTAAATTCATAACAATTTCAATGTTACTAGTATATTTTTACTCAAGGTTAATATTCATTAACAATTAAGAGATTTTAATATTCTCCAAAATTTTAAGTAAAATTATTTTTACACCTATTGTTATAGTTAGATCTAAAATGTCACCAAATTTTTATGTGTGGAAGGTGACTGAATCATAGGGATGCTATGCTCCTTACTAGATTCATCCACTGAAGAATTCAGTAGGTAAACATGCTGATAAGAGGTGGGGCCTATCTGGAAGTGAGTCACTGAGGGTATTACCTAGAAGGGAGTGTTCTTATCCATAGTTCCTCCCTTTGCTGTTTCCTGGCTACCATGGTTTGAGCCCCCTTTTCCTTTGTCAAAACCATGCCATCTTGTTTCCGTGTGGGAGCCAGCCAACCACAGACTGAAACTGTGAGCCAAAATAAACCTGTCCTCTAAGTTGTGAGTGTCAAGTAGTGTGTTTTAGCAACAGGTAAGACACTTACTTTATTATTTTTTTACTTAATTTTATTGGAACATTTTAGGTATACAATATAATGACATTCATCATTGTAAATTTGTACCTTTATGTAATCTATCTTGGTTATTTTTTCCTCATTCCTCTGCCTATATTTTTATAAACATATACTCAAATTTGGTATATTACTGGGGATTGAACTCCTATCCTTGAGCTTGCAAGTCAGGCACCAGAACCACTGATATAAATCTCCAGCCCTGAATGTACATTTTAAATCCTTAAGTCATTAATGTCAATAGAAAACAAAATAAGTAAAAGGCTATCAGGACAGCAAAATTTCTAAATGAAAGAAAAAGTATGGAATATATTTATTCATATAATAAATGTATAAATAATTGTAGATCTTTATTACTCAAAAATCATCAAACTATTATCAAATATTCATAATTCACTTATCTTAAGATATTTTGCCAATATTCACTTATACAAATAGCTTTAGGGCCGGGAATTTGGCTCAGTGGTTCCCGCCACCTGCCTCGCAAGACCAAGGGCCTAAGTTCAATGCCCGGTACAAAAAGAAAAAAGAAAAGAAAAGAAAGAAATGCTTTACACCTATTTTTCTATCTTGTTGCAGTGAAAGTGTAAGAAAGAAGATTGATGAGACATTTCATAATTTAAAAACCTTACTCAAAATACATTGTAGAGGTTTCTGTACTCATTCTCCAGGACCAACAGCTGTTAGGGTAGGTCGGCCCACCATCATTTAAAAAGAAGAAATTTGTGAGGACACCAAAAACAACTGAAAGAAATGTATTTTACAAGATGCCCTGAAACATGACATAGAGCAAAGATAAAAATGGCCAAGAAGCGCAGTAAGCTAACAAGGTTTTAATTTCTAGTCTAATTTTGCAAAAAGTCACCAATGAAGGAAACAAGACAAAAGAAGTGTCTCAGTAAGCCCTTGGTCTTTCAAGAGGAAAAGAAAGGAAATGATCCAGCGCACTGCCCCACGCCCGGCCCAGCGCTGCGCGGAGTGGCCGCAGCTCCACCGCCCACACCGCCAAGAAGCGCAGTAAGCTAACAAGGTTTTAATTTCTAGTCTAATTTTGCAAAAAGTCACCAATGAAGGAAACAAGACAAAAGAAGTGTCTCAGTAAGCCCTTGGTCTTTCAAGAGGAAAAGAAAGGAAATGATCCAGCGCACTGCCCCACGCCCGGCCCAGCGCTGCGCGGAGTGGCCGCAGCTCCACCGCCCACACCCCGCC